GGGAGACCCCCAAAGGGGGGAGCTGGGCCCCCCATGGAGGGGCTGAGCTGGGGGGGGCTGCCCCATGGAGGGGTGGGGGCTGCCCCATAGCAGGGAAGGGGGGGGGGGGATGGAGGGGGTGCATAGCTGGAGTGGGTGGGGGGCTGCCCCATGGAGGGGGTGCATAGCTGGAGTGGGTGGGGGGCTGCTCCATAGCAGGGTTAGGTGCTGCCCCATAGAGAGGGTGCATAGCTGGAGTGGGTGGGGGGCTGCCCCATAGCAGGGTTAGGGGCTGCCCCATAGCAGAGTTAGGGGGCTGCCCTATGGACTGTGTGTGTCTAAAGGGGGGCTGTCCCATAGCAGGGTCAGGGGCTGCCCCATAGCAGGGTTTGGGGCTGCCCTACGGACTGTGCGTGTCTAAAGGGGGGCTGCCCCATGGAAGGGTGGGGGCTGCCCCATGGAGGGTGTGCATAGCCGGAGTGGGTGGGGGGCTGCCCCATGGAGGGTGTGCATAGCCGGAGTGGGTGGGGGGCTGCCCCATGGAGGGGGTGCATAGCTGGAGTGGGTGGGGGGCTGCCCCATAGCAGGGTTTGGGGCTGCCCCATAGCAGGGTTTGGGGGTGCCCCATAGAGGGGGTGCATAGCTGGAGTGGGTGGGGGGCTGCCCCATAGCAGGGTTTGGGGCTACCCCATAGCAGGGTTTGGGGGTGCCCTACGGACTGTGCGTGTCTAAAGGGGGGCTGCCCCATAGCAGGGTTAGGGGGCTGCCCCATAGAGGGGGTGCATAGCTGGAGTGGGTGGGGGGCTGCCCCATAGCGGGGTCAGGGGCTGCCCCACAACAGGTTTGGGGTCACACAGCAGGTTTGGGGTCACACGGCGGGTTTGGGGTCACACAGCAATTTGGGGTCACAGAGCAGGTTTGGGGCTGCCCCACAGCTGTTTGGGGTCACATGGTGGGTTTGGGGTCACACAGTAATTTGGGGCTGCCCCACAACAGGTTTGGGGTCACACAGTAATTTGGGGCTGCCCCATAAAAGGTTTGGGGCTGCCCCACATCCATTTGGGGTCACAGAGCAGGTTTGGGGTCCCACATCCATTTGGGGCCCCACAGTAATTTGGGGCTGCCCCACAGCAGTTTGGGGTCGCAGAGCAGGTTTGGGGTCACAGTGGTTTGGGGTCCCACAGCCATTTGGGGCTGCCCCATAGCAGGTTTGGGGCCCCACAGCCGTTTGGGGTCACACGGCGGGTTTGGGGTCACAAATCAATTTGGGGCTGCCCCATAGCAGGTTTGGGGCCCCACAACTGTTTGGGGTCCCACAGCAGGTTTGGGGCTGCCCCACAGCAGTTTGGGGTCACACAGCGGGTTTGGGGTCACAGCCGTTTGGGGTCCCACAGTAATTTGGGGTCACACAGCAGGTTTGGGGTCACACGGCAGGTTTGGGGTCCCAGCCCTTTGGGGTCCCACAGTAATTTGGGGTCACACAGCAGGTTTGGGGTCACACGGTGGGTTTGGGGTCACAGCCGTTTGGGGTCCCACAGTAATTTGGGGTCCCACAGTAATTTGGGGTGACACAGCGGGTTTGGGGTCACAGCCGTTTGGGGTCCCACAGTAATTTGGGGTCCCACAGTAATTTGGGGTCACACGGCCTCCTGCGCCTGGCGGAAGTCGAAGACGCTGCCGCGCTCCAGGAAGGTTTGTGGGGTCGGGGGGCCCGGGGGCCCCGGGGCGCTGCCGGGGTTTCGGGGCTCCAGGCGGTTCTGGGGCGCCCACAGGTCCTGGGGGTCCGGGGGGCCCGGGGG